CCCCCTAGTTTTGCCAAGTGCCCTTTTTCCGGGAGCAAGGTGCCCTTTTTTTGGGTAGAAATTTTTCATTAAGATTGCACTTGAAAAGTACACTTTTGAAAACTTGAATTTATGTCATTTCCGGAAAACTTTTTTTTAATTTCCGAGAAAAATATTATATGTCCGGTATGAAAATTAAAATTAAATTTTTGGTATGTCCGGAAATATTTTTCGTATTTAGGAAAAAATGTGGTATATCGGGAAAATTTTTTTGGGTATGTCTAAAATTTTTTTTGAGATGACGTCCCCCGCCTCACCAACATTTCCGGGAAAAAATTTTTAGATGCCCTTTTTTTCCGAAAAGTGCCCTTCAAAGCCTGGCCCCCCAGAAGCTTCCTACGCCCCTGGTTGTACGCCTGGATTGAAGTATGCGATTTATGGCCAGTGACTGCTTTGATGTGTCTAATACGTTGCTGTGACGCTGTCTGACAGGACCGTGACTGATGTTGCCCGAACACAGTCACAGTAATTTGTTAGATGTGGGATTATTCCAGCTGCCTTAGATGTGGTTTTCATTATGTTGGTCAGACGGCATTCGCCAAGGGGACAATTGCAATACCATATCTCGTGTGGTGGACATTCCTGAAACTTGGTGGACATTTATCGTGGACTCTGGAATAGGCCAGACCTCGTGCACTGGATGTAAATTGCTCAGAAAGTTTTCAATGGATTTCACTGGGCACCGTCGGGAATTCACCACTTCAAACACCTTTCCGTCCGATTTATCCTTGTTGTCGTTGAGGCCTCCTTGGTGATTCTTTATTCCTAGGAAGCGGTCGCATCGGAATTCAAAATATCGCCGTCCTTGTGCAGTAGTGTACTAGTGTGGAGTACAAGCATAGAAATAATAGATATAGAATACGTACTCGTATCTTTTCTCAGTAAAAATATTGTCTCGACAAAATGGCAGATTTATAAGGACATTTTGAGGACTCCTGGGGCAAGGAATTTCGCGCGGTTGAAGGAAGTGCGAATTGTTTTTTTTTCAACTGCAATGTTTACAAAAAAAGTTTATATTGAGACTTAAAATGGAAAAAAGGGTTTTTTTAAAGAAGAAAACCCCATTCCAATTGGCTTTTTTACGAAGAGCAAGAGCTCTGAACAGAATATATACAGAAATCGTTGTTTAAATATACATTTTGAACGTTGTTGTGCAATTAAGCCAAAACAAAACTCGAAAGATCAAGACAAACTCAAACTCAATATGTATATTCTACAAATATTTCAACTCTTTTATAATATAAATGGAGATTAATAATCTTTTTAAACTTATACAATTACTTTTCATATTTTCTACGTTGCTTGAGTACAAGGCAACGCTTTTGAAACCATAGTTTTCCATGATTATTTAGGCAATTTACAGTTTATCGATCGACAAAATATTTTTGTTTCAAAAACATAAAAAACTTCGTTTACAATGAAGAAAAACGAAATCCGACGAAGAAGAACTATCATTTTGTAATCTTATAAGATGTTAGCGAAACAGTGACAGTAGTGACGTTCAGAGCATGCAAAAATGTACTGCACATTAACTGCACATTTGCTTTGACAGTTTGTGCCTTCAAAGAACTCGAAATCTATCCCCAAACTACAAATTAGACAAGAAGACAAAACGTTTTGACGATGAAAACGTAGTTTTAGCTTTGTTTATACTTTGTAGTTTGCACTCCTAGACAAATTCAACATGGCGGATTTATATAAGGGCACGCTTGAGAAAAAGTGGAGACATGATTCGTGATCAAGTACGCATTCTATATCGATTATTTCTATGAGTACAAACATACTTTCGTGCAGATTTCTGTAGTTTTCTCTCCCTCGTTTGCCAAAGTAAAATGTAACGTAGAATCAAGCCGTTTGTAAAAGCTTCCGAGGGTTGTTGGAGTCACAGTCGGTAATTTCACCGCTTTCGTATAGCTTTTGTAGTTGCTCGCATGTTATCGGATGCTTGTGGATAACTGGACCAATTTTCCCCTCTCGAGTGACTTTCTTGCAGATGGCATTCAGTGTTTTATTAACCCGTTCAAATACAGGATCGCCAATAATGGACCAAGGTTTGTTTTGGAGCGACTGTTTTAGATAGCGGTCGATACCAGATCTTATTGCGCGAAGGGTCGAAACCTTAAACTCCCTCCCCTCTTGTTTTCTTGCAACAGCATAAAACTTTTTCAGACAGATAGATAGCTCGAATTTTTCCATTTCCTCAATTTGTGTACAAAATTCTTGCTGGCTTGCAAACCATTCTGAAATTTATATCGTGTAAAGGGAAGCAAATATTCGTTAATTGTTGTTCGCGTAAAATGTTTTAAAATGCAGTTTTAATTTTAAAATTTCATTGAGAGTATTTTATTTATCTTTTTCCCTTTAAAAATTGCTATTCCGTATTTGGTTGCTTTTATTGTTTTTTCTGGCACGGAATTATCCAGCAAGTCGTTAACTAATAGCCTACTAGTAGCGCAACCTCGTTCCCAGGTACTTCTCTCTTTAAGAGGAAAAACCCTGGCAATAGCTGGTCACGTGGCTCCCAGAAAATTGATTGCGTGTGGGGAAAGTATCATATTACATGCTTCCGCACTTTACACTTCTATCGCAAGGAGTGAGTGTTCTATGCAATCAACTTTGAGAATCACATATACGTCAAAATACTTGCTAAATTTGATTTATGTTTGCTCTTAAATTAAATTATAAAAATATGCTAAGCGGATTTTTATAGCAACAACTCAGGAAATCAAGCAATAAAAACGTACCGATCATATGCACTATTGTTCATACGTTTTCACGGGGCTTGCGCACACTTTAATAAGCACTTTCATTTCACACGTTTCTGCTCTGTCTTTGGTTCACATATTTACAATCTTATTATATGTCACTAAATTGTTGTTATTTGCAAACGGTATACAGTAAACTTTGCATTGATTTACTTGTTACAAGTAAAGTTAATTTCAACATAGGTCTCGAGAGCGACTGCATGATGTTTATAGGTCGTGGCGCCTTTGAGGTTGTACGGCAAAGGTTACACATTTGAACACTTGCAAATACTCAAATGTCCTTGAATGGACATTTTATGCTACTGATTTTATTAAAAAGTATTGATAGTTTATATTAAACACTGGTTATTGTAGAAAAGAGTGTGCATATAAGGTAAAAAATTGTTAGAGAATCTACAGGACAGATTATAAGACAACTGCTTTTCCTTTTTTGTCTGCACGAGTATGTTGTTGAACATTTGAAGGCAATTAAATATTGCGCAGTATTTTCTATATAACTCTAATGGCCCTTTACCCCGCCTTATATACCGTGACACGTGAATAATAGCAGATAAGGTTTAGAAAATTTTTTTGTGCATCCCTGACAAAAATTAATGTAGTGACACTTTATACCATATATACATAATTCATAAACTATGTCTTGTATATTATGCACAAAGTCTCGCACAGACATATCATTACTTTTATACTTTATGAGATTCTATGAGCATTAAATGTAAAGGCGATACTTATATATTTGATGTCTCACAGCAGCGTGTGTTTATTTCAGCATGAGCTCCACCTTTGAATTTACTAAGTGAGTAAATTCTTAAACACGTCCGAATTTATTATTATGATAAATTCGCGGCAAATTTTGAATTTATCATAATAATAAACCGCGACACCTAACACTAACCCTAACCCCAACCCTAACCACTAACCCCTAACCACTAACCCTAACCTAAAAATCTAACTTTTTAAACTTTTTTTGCTTTTCAAAACTCTTTTGAAACTTTTTAAAACTTTTTTAAAAACTAAGTCTTTATATAAAAATACTAAGTAGCAATGTTTTATCAGGTTTAAAGCCATTGCACGTGACATATTATGGTTGACATGACTTGCCAACAAGCTTATGAATTATTAATGAGTGTTTGAAAATATTTACAATGTGCCTGGTGTAATAAATATGAAATAATTGTATGTACGCACATTACACAGTATATATTTTGTCTTCTGTATAATTTAAATATTCAAATTGTTCTGCACGCAAAGGAGGAGTCTTTGCCTTTTTCTGCATAGGATGACTTTACTATATGTTTGATAACAGAGAACTATACCTCGACATAATATTTGATGATAGAATCTCAGCGATGCCAAAACCGTATATATCACAGTATTTGACGGGTTTTTCACAGTCGGAAAAGCATGTTTATTGTTTACTGTTTAGAATTTACACACAGTTGGCGGAATCACAATTAAATGTTCCAATTTTATAGCAATTCCACATCTCTACTTAAGGAACATCCGTTGGGTATACGCAGGGACGCCGGAACTGGGGGGCAGGGGGGGGCGGCTGCCCCCCCCCCCCTTGCTTTTGCTAGGGGGGCAGGGGAAGCAGAAGTGCCTTTTAGTTGTAAAATACTACGTGATAAATCACATTTCCAGTGATGCTTTTTCTGGGAAAATCATGAGATTCAGGTAATTTATAGGCCCAGAGAAAGTAAATTAACAAGAATAATTGTGAATTTGGTAAAGAATGAGTTTAATTTACAAAAATTTTAGAAAATTTTTGAATTTAGAAAAATTTTTTAACTTAACTGAAAATTTTGGTATTTCCGGAAAAAATGTTTGACCTCTAAAATGGTACACTGGGAGGGGGGGGAGGTCGCCCAAAAAATTTCCATGAAAAAAAATTTCCGGTAGATTTTGAACTTTTGCTCTATAGAGGTGCCCTTGGTGTGCGTATGCCCCCCTTTGCCTTATTATCGTTCCGGCGTCCCTGGGTATACGTATCGGACAGGATACACTTCAATACTGACAACTGAAAGTATCTTCGGTCCGGAAGATTTTTACAGCGAACTGAGCGAAGCGTTCTTTCGTTGCCAAGCCTTGATTTCCACTAAAATCTGATCCAACTTCTCGCTTGACTAATGCAACCCAACACTCAATGATATAGAGGAATACGTGTGATAATAAATACAAAATATTTCAGGATTTCTTGTTGCAAATTTAAATTTTATCGCCGGAAACTATAACACGCAAGTTGTAATTTTCCAAGCGCAAGAAGCGCACTCCTCTACCATCCCTCCCTAAGTACAATTTCAATTTAGCACCCAGAACCTGGGAGCCACGTAACCAGTTATTGCCAGGGTCTTTCCTCCAGCGAGGAGCATAGTGGAAAGAGCCTGAGACGAGATTGACTAGTAGCGTAGCCAATCAGAACGCACAAAATATGATAGCCTACTAGTAGGTTTATACTTTATATTTTAAATTTCAATAGTCGGGACCCAGCCATTGGAAGGTTATTAATATTTTGCACCTTCCAAACTTTCTTGAATCTCTAGTCTGTATTCATTTACAAGTACAGCAAACCTGAAGAGTGTTAAAACTTCAGTATAAAATATACTCTAATCATGCTTTTCAACTGTAGTACTGAGTTTAAAATGTAAACAAAGCGTTTGTTTATACGGATTTTACAGCACCTTTAATATAATTGAACGACTTCTTGTATGTTTGTTTTGTTTACGTCTTATTCGGGAATTTATACGTGTAATTTCCGCACTTGAACATCAATTTCAGGTATTGGTGCCATTGATCTCGCGCCATTCATTCCGTTTCTCCAGAGTCATGCCTAGCACCCAACCTGCCAACGGGCATACTCTGGGTACGAGATTGATTCAAATTGAAAACCTTCTTCGAATGTACAGTACAGTATATAATATACACTATATAATATATACTCGTGACATAAATTTAAAAATATTTTATTTTGTCAATAAAATATTCAAAGAAATATCAATAAGTGCCGGGATAGAAAACACTTGGACTATGAGAAATCGAAGTATTGCAACGAATGGACGAGAAAAGTCAAAATTCCAAATATAAACATGAACAAAAGACTTCTGTTGCACGTTCATTGTTCAAAGCTTAGTAAAATTCACAAGCTATACAAAGATTCCACAACAAAACTTGCTTAGCACCAGCTGACGTAGAGATAGGAAATTTCCACTGATATAAGACTTGATAGTGCATCCGGTGCTCAGCTGTGAAGCCGGAAGTCATGGACCGGCCACCATGTTGAATGGCCCCACTTGAGGAGTGAATACTATAGATTTCTATTACAGAATGTATAGTTTTAAAACGCTTATTTTCTTCTCTTATGGACTGAAACAAACGTTGTTTCAGGAAAGGAATATGTGACATTGAATGCTTCAAGAAGTAAGTTTGAAGTTTTTAACCCTGAAATCGCAGAGGAAACCGGAAGTTTCCCGTCGTAATAATGAGTGCATCTGTGCGATGACTGAAGATATGAACGCCAGACTCGTCAATGGAGGCCAAAGTGACAAGGATTAGATCAAATTCAAGTGTTGGATTATTTAGTTAGGAATACTGATTCAAAGCACAAAGCAACTCGACCAACTGAACAAGTTAGGCGGTACAATTAACTGCGATATTTACTGCTGTACTAAAACAGGTAAGTTTTGCATTAATGACCTTTGTCATGGCTGGCAAAACTTAAATCGTGGTTCATATACAGTGTTTGTTTAGTACTAAAGTGATGGGATAATTTTATATTTGAGTTATATAAAACTTTTATTAATTTGTGTGTAGCAGACGATAACTGAAAAAATTTTTACTCCCAATTGCATTTGAGACATTTGAACTAAATGGATAACCCCATGAGGTCATCAACTTCTGTGAATAATAAAGCACATTAGATTATCCTGATATTTTAATTGCAGGAGTTGGGAATTTCGAAGACAGAATGCTGACTTAACAGTCAAGAACATTGCAGCACTCACACTGTTAATTTCGAGGAGTCAAATTGACTCCAACAACCCTACTTAAGGAGGAAAATTTACACCAAAAATGGAGTTAATAAAGGAGTAACATTTACTCTAAAAAAGGAGTCGTTCTGTACCTTTTTTATTTACTCCACTTTTGGAGTCAATTCGACTCCTTTGGAGACAAAATGACTTCTATATATTGGAGTAAAGAAAAGTCTTTAACTAACTTTAGAAATCAATAAAAACATTTTTCGAGTCAAAATAATTTATTATCCCTACAAGTAAGGTATATTATAGCAGGAAATACAATTTGCTGTAGCATAATATAATGATATACTCTTACGCTCTATAATATTTTAATGAAGTTCTAAATTGATTAGAATGATATGAATACATGATTAGAATGATATCATGAATACATGTGGAATACAATTACAAGCCTGGC